CCACAGTCACGCTATAACAAAGCTATAATTCACAACGAACGACTCACGTGCTCGACTCAATTGTCAGTCTCTATCTCTGTATGCAGTTCAATTACATTGGGCCAGGTGGTTAAGGCACTCGACTCGCAATCTGAGGGTCGTGGGTTCGAATCCCTGTCACACCAAACATGCTCGCCCTGGGGGCGTTATAACGTGACGGTCAATCCCACTATTCGTTGGTAAAAAAGTAGCCCAAGGGTTGGCGGTGGGTGGTGATGACTAGCTGCCTTCCCTCTAGTCTTACACTGCTAGTGCAGATAGCCCTCGTGTAGCTCTGCGCGAAATTAAAAAAAACAAAACAAACAAACAATCAATTACATTGTTGCCGTCACTTCTTGGCGGTCTTATATACAAGAATACCGCATATCTAGTAAACACTCGAGACTTCACGAAGGGACACAAACGTTCTAGAAGCTCATGACGAGTTACCAGTGTCACGTGACTTCCGCTGTAACACTATAAAAATATCGCGCATTTTTCTACCTTCTTATAGTAATATAATATTATTCTAAATTTATCGGTTATTCTCAGTATGTTTTCTGATGACATGTAATCAAAAAAGTCGTTATGTTGATTTTGTTTAAGCTGCTTTTATGCCTATGTTATTCTAATGAAGCCACAACATTTCTTCCCATTGTAGATGGATCTTCACCATATTTGATATGAAGTTTTATCGGGTCCATGGGGAAGTACATAAAAATTTTCAGTTTTAGATTTTGCGGTTTTTATCGGCGTTTTTACCACTACTTCGCTCCCTGTTGATGGATCTTCACCAAATTTGGTATAAAGGTTCACTGGGTTTGTGCCAAGATACATACAGATTTTCAGTTTTGCATTTTGCGATTTTTATGGGCGTTTATTATAAATACTTTGCCCCCTGTAGTTCGAGCTTCACTAAATTTGGCATGAAGGTTCACTGGGTCCATGGGCAGATATATATAAATTTTCAGATTTGCATTTTGCGGTTTTCATGGGCATTTTTTACCACTACTTCGCCCCCTGTTAATGGAGCTTCACGAAATTTGGCAGGAAGGTTTGTTGGGTCCATGTGGAGATACACGCAAATTTTCAGTTTTGTGGTTTTTATGAGCGTTTTTGCATTTTTACAATTACATATAAGAGAAGCAACTTTTTATGTCGTAAGATAACCTTTCATTCATCATGAATTTACATAACTTCCGTTCAGGGGACGGACACTCCAGCTAGTAATTAAATAATTAACATATTGTGTGATACTTTCAAAAATAAGAAATTTACTCACCGAAGAAACATTAATCCAAATCCGACTGGAATAATGATAAATTAGGCAAGAATGGTCAGTTAACAGATTACTACCAACATAGTGGCTGTGTGCTGATTACTGATCAAAACCGCCCCGCCCCCCAGTCCACAGCTGTATGTCTGCGGACTTAAAACGCTAGAAACCGGGTTTCGATACCCATGGTGGGCAGAGCACAGACAGCCCATTGTGTAGCTTTGTGCTTAACTTCAAACAAACAATACTCATCAAAACCATTAGTCTCACGATGCTAGCGCCACTATACGTTCTAGCTCCTTTTGCCTATAATAAGGTTTTATGATAACACTTTATTTATATATTCTACTTGTGAGACGAGGGGCGTCGAATAATTTAACTTTCAACATTTGATTTATGATGTGAACAACTGTAATGAATATGCGTTGATTGTTTTGAAGTTATGGAAAATTAAGGTAATATCTATACATAAATATATGATATAATGAAATGTAGTGGATATCTTAAACTTAAAGCATTGAATAAGTAACGGAAAATAAGTTTACATGACAAGTAGTGAAGTAGTAACTTGTAATAAAGTTGTATAAAGAATTAGATTTTTAGTGTTACAAAATTTAATTAATCCAACTGCACTTTACTGCTTACATTGCAACTGGAAGTGGAAGTGCAAAGTCGACTCTACAGTGACACCTTGCTTGTTTTTACGCATCCTTATTCTTGTAATACTAATACTAACATTACTAGGCTACAACGGTACAAGGGACTACAACTTACATTACTACTACTAGGACAACTAAGTTAGTAAGTTAAAGCCTAAAATAAAAACTAGTATTGCTTTTCAGTCTCGAGCCATATATTTTACTTTTACTCTTTTGATACCTAAAACTTTTGTTTTTATTACAGTTTGACATAAAATAAAACATTGCACCATCTTTTATTTGTATTCTAACATTCAGCATACTTTTAACATGCTTAAAATAATTATTGGTGTTAATTTTGACATTATCAGCCAGCTGTTTCTTATAAGATCTTTAGGATTTTCTACTTTTTTAAAAAAACAGATCTTTGCATGCTTATGGATTTGTAAATCTTTCATCATATCTATCAGTTTAAACTGCTTAAACTTACTCATTATTTCTCTTTTATTAGGGTTGATCTTCCCTGTTATCTTTTTCCTCTTTTTAAAAAACATGTTTATCGTAAATTAAAAACAAGTTATTTTTGAATATTTCCCAAATATGTCTACACCACCTTTTAATTCATTTTCTCAATTTACTAGTGATAAATTTTGTCTCACAGCCTCAAAAGTGGCTTTCTGAAAATTAGGAATTAAAATTTCATTTCTTTTACTCTCAACATGCAGCAAAACCTAATTGTTCGGTGCTCAGTCATTCTCAACTGTTCTTCTACTTCAATTCTTGCAACCATATCCTTAATTGATGGTTAACAGTAAATCTAAAATGGTATTCATTTTGGTTGGCAGTGTGATAATTTGGTATAGAAAACCATCCTGAATCAAGTAAATTATTAAATGAATCTTTTTCCCTTGCCATTTGTTTCCATATGTCTGAAATAGTCACCCATAATTATTGCCTTAATATTATTATTAGTAGTAGTAGCAACCCAGATCACTTTATACAATTTTTCATTTATCTCTTTTTGACCGGGTGGCCCAAAACAATTGCCAACTAAAAACTCTATTCTTGAAACTCCTGATTGTAACCAATATATATTCAACCTCATAACTACCAGTTTTTATGCCTTTAATCCTAATAGGCTGTAGTTTGTTTCATACAAATAACTACCCACTACTCTCTCAAAAAGTATTGCTATTAAATAACATAATCTGAGATTTCAAAATGATTCCTATTATTAATATTCTCCAAATCTAACCAAATTTCAGTAATTTTCTATGTCATAGTTTTCCAATTCAACTGGAGCCATGAAATCATATTTTTTATTCCTTATAACATATTAGAGTAATATTAACTAATTTGATAAAGAGGAACCCACTTTTTTACAAAATAAAAGTTTGGAGATGGCTTGAATGGATAGTGAAGAAAACTTTATTATAAATGTACAATGTTTTGACAAGATTATATCATCATCAGGTATTATATTTACAGCATGGAACAAAGAGATCACATGCCTGGAGATTGCTTTACAGCTTAGTAAAGGTATCCTGATACCTTGGGGTGTTGGTTTAGGGTATGGCTATTATTTTCAATTAAGATGGCTTCTTTTGTGTTTGTCGGTATTTGTTTCTTTGTTTAAAATTATTGTGTTTTATACAGATATACTGTGGTTTTTTTGAGTTGCAATGATGGTAAACATGGAAGAGTTTTTTTACTTTGTTAGGTGAATCTGGTTTCTCCAGTGTAGAATGCTGGACAGTTATTGCATGTTAATTTATAAATGGTGTTGGTATTGTATGATTCTCCATAATTGTTATCTAGTAATGATTTTAGTTTAGGGCCAAGTTTTTTGAGTGAGTTTGAAGTCAACAGGAAGTTTATGTTTAATGACAAGATTTCTCCAAGTGTTGATTATTTTTGAACTGACTTCAGGGATAAATGGTAAACTTCAATGTAATGATATGTTGTTGTTTGGTGTATTAGTGGGTTGAGTTTTGAGGTTTTAATTCTGGTGTGTGTGTGGAAATTTTATGCAACAAACTAATGATTCCTCTATCATGGTTTTCAGTTTCTGGGATGTTTTGGATTTGGACAGTCTTTTTCCCCTCCAGAATATTCCTCTCAGTCGTGTGTCATTTTGAAGGACTTACCCAGACCTTTTTCCTCTTTGGAGAATTTGATTATTCAGGTATGTGATGTTCTGTCCTTATCTCCTGTTTCCTATGTTCCACCCCTTCTTTTCTTGGGGACTAGCCATTAGTGTTGCTTCTGCCTTAATGGGGACTGGATCCCAGATAATTCAGTTACCTTTTCCAATACTTGTCTTACTCTGACCTTCTTTTACGGGTCAGGGCTGGTGGAGGCCAGACTCCTTCAATTTGCCTATGTTTGGAGGTTCTTGGTAGTTAATCCATGGGTTCTGAAAGTCATTTCAGTAAGTCTGGTCCTTTACTTCTATTCATCTCCCCCATTGTCTCACAGTTCCATTTCCTTCCCTCCTCCTCAGATTCTCGTTTTTCTTGCCCATCTGATTCATTACAGGGTCCTTCGTTTTCCCCGTTCTATGGTTATATGGCTGCTTCTTGCCTCCTCTCAAGAGGACTCAGTCCTACACCCACTCAATTTTTTGGTTCATCTTGGGGTGTTTATGAACTCCCTCCTCTGTTGGAACCTACCTGCTCCACTTCACTTGCAAGCTATGGAATGTCTTATATGCAGCATCTCATTCTCTCCTCCTACCATGTGAGAGGTTCTCTCTGTTTTGGGGACATGAGCTTCTCTCGAAGCCTTCATTCCTTCTTCCCTCATGCGTCATTGTCAGTGGGTTTTGATAAACCAATGAAGCCTTGTTTGGGATCCCTTAGGTGCCCATCTTACCCTTCCTCCTCCTTTACAGGCCGACTTCGACTGGTGGTTGGATCGGACCGATACTGCTATGGGTGTTCCTTTCCCTCCTCCTTGTCCAGAATATCACCTTTTACAGATGCTTCTGTTTCCAGTTTGGGGGGGGGGGTGTATTTTGACACTTAGAAAGTTTTTGAGCAATGGCCTCTTTCTGAGTCCTCTTTCCATATCAATCTTGGAACTTTTTCCTGTTTGTCAGCTTCACTTCCTGCGGGCTCCTAGGGCCTTGTTGGTATGTTAGTCTCGTACATCACCAGGCAAAGGACACTCAGTTGACAGACTTCTGTTTTCTCACATTGGAACTTCTGTATTGGGCTCACACATGATTTCCACTGCTGCACTGGTTTTTGGTGTATCTTTTTTTCTTTTCTTTTATCTCTGATACTCTTTCATCAGTCACATGCATCTTTCATGCGTCATCGGTCTATACCTGCACTCCGTCTTCATACGTGGCTTTGTCTGATCTCTTCACTTGTAGCTTCCTTCATTTTCTGTCCTGTTCTTTCTTCCTTCATAGTGGTTTACCTATGTATTTAGTACATGGACCACTTTTGATTTGTCCTAAGGGGTTATAGTTCTTCCCATTGTATGGTTCCTCACATACCATCCTTTTTGCCTTGGCTTTGTGAACGAGGCCTTAGGTTTCCTCTGTTGTGGGCTATATGGTGGCATTATCTGCTACTTTTCCATTTACCGACTTGTGTTTTCCAGTTGCCAGTCTTATCCATATTGTTTCATTCCTCCTGTTTTTCCTGTCCTCCCCACTCTGCTGCCCTTCTGAATTAGCATTTCTATGTGTTCTTCTAGGTGTTTCACCATCCTCCATTACACCTTTTGTCTTTATGTTCTCGAAATTACCTTTCCTTGAAGTCACTGTTCCTGCTCTTGATGGCATGCAAACATTGTTGTTCTGATGTGTTTGCATTTTATGTTTTTAGTTCCTCTGTTCTCCTCTTTTCTGATCATTCATTGGCTGCTCGAAAAGGTACTTCTTCCTTCCCTCCTTTCCCCCTTTATGACCATTCCAATCCCACCCACCCCTTTGCTCAGTCGGAGCTATTCAGTGGTATATAACACATCCTACTGCTCTCTTACATGGTTCCAAACTCCATTTGTTTTTTTCCATGAAATCCTCACCTCTTCCATGGCCTTTTTTTCCTTTTTCTTTCCTGTTTGAATTTGCTTTGTGTTTTTCATCCCTTTCTCGTGATGATCATCATCTTTCCATCTTCCATAGGGGACATCATCATCAGTGCTGTAACTGTTTATCTGTGGTTGGTAAGTACTCTGTTTATTTTCTTTGCATGGGTCTGTATCGCATGTTTGGATCCCACTCTGTAGAGAGTGTTGCCTGACTAGGTATACTTAGTCTTAAATCCACAATGTATAACCTGTGATCATATACCATGCTAGATGACTGTGACAATGAGACTCTTCCATGTTTTTTTCCCTCCTTCTTCTAGTGGAGTATGGGAGTACTTGCCACTTATCAGTTCCTCGTGCTGGGGTAGTGGAACGTGGATGCCTGTCCTTCTGATTGTGCACAATACTTCTCAGTTAAGAGTAAGGCAGTGGCAATCTACCGGTGTAGATGGAGTGACACCCTTCCTATCTTTGACCTGATGTGTACTTCCAGATGTCACCAGGTGTTGGATGTAGCTCTCTACCATATAACGCACTTTTCCCCTCTGGCTGGGGCACCCTTCTTCCTACCATCTGCCTGATGTCTGTACCAAAGGTCAGGTGTTGGTTGGAGCCAAACCAGCCACATAAGCCCTAACATGTATTTGGATGGTACCCTTCTCTTATCACGGGCTGGATGATATATTCCCAATGCTGCCAGGCTTTGGACTGGAGATGCAACCCCAAATAGTGATTCCTCTTCCTACCATCCTCTGAATGTCGTTTCCTATTGGATTTGGTGTTGGCTGTAGTTGTATGAGACACATGAATTCCCACATGTGTAAGGCTGGGTACCCTCCTCCTATTGTGGA